CTTAATAGAATTTGATCTTATCTAAAACCTCAAACTCACAGAGTGGGGGGGGGAGTTTTCTTGAGTAAAAATCTTCATAATTCGTAGGTCACTTCCAAATTGTTGTATGAATCTGTTCTATTTTCTTTGAGAAATTCAACATCAAACATGGTGCAGTAAATAACCCACGTTGACTGAGCTTTTTTTATTTTTTTTTTCTCCTTGTAAAAGATATTAAACATTGATTTCTTTAAAGCCGCTCTTTGTAAATTTCATGACAATCTTTTGCTGTTTCGGTAACTTCTTGCTTCAAAATATAATTTCTTATTACTTTAACTTTTAACATACTGGAGCTGATTTTGCTTGCAAAACAAAAATTTTATCCTGCCACTGCAAGTGACATAGATGAATGAATAATAGCATGTTTGTATTTTGCAGCTGTGTTGTTATATCCTACTATGGCAACAAAAAAATGTTGACTGAAATTAAGCCTTAAAAACAATGTAGTGGAAAGGAAAATAGTATATAATGTAGAGTGTTAAAGCTTAAATGTTATATTTAGCAGATGAAAATGTTTGAGTAGACACCATTTTTTTTTTTTTTTAAACTGTAAATTATGTCCACTGGCCTGTATATTTAATAGTCTTAAAGAACATGTACCCTCCTTTAGGATTCAAACCCCTTGTTTTTTGGGGGGAGGGAACTACTGATTCAATTAACATCTTAAATGCACAAACCAGTGGATGTAATTTCTTCTTCTTTATGTGCAGTGTCCCCTTGGGACATAGGCAATCATAGCTCTCCACAGTTTCCTGTTCTTTGTAGCTCTTAATAAATTTTGTCTTTTTGTTATTTCTTCAAAACCCTGTTCCATCATCCATTTACTCAAGCTCTCTAGATAGGTTATGTGTTGTTTTCCTCTGTCCCTTTTACCTTCCATCTGTCCTGTGAGTATCAGACTTTCCAAGCTCTCTTTCCTCATTATGTGCCCTAGAAATTTCAGCTGTCTCTTCCTATAAGTTTCCTTTTTGTTTTTAAAAAAAAAAAAAAACAACACTTGTATCCACTTTAAAGTAGTAATAAATTAGAGTGAAATTAATAGATTTTAATTCCTTTGAAATTTATAATCATTTATGCAATTATCAGTTTTAAATAAGTAAAATTTTTCTCTTTTATATTTTTGTTTAATTTTTCCTTTTTCTTACTTCTCCTCACTAAAGTTTTCTCATTCTCTTTCATTCCCTGTAAACCCCTGCATCCTAGTGGCATTATCACTTTGCTTGGGGTGAAACAATTAAAAAAAAAAAAAACTATTGCTGTAGCCTCATATTTTGAAGGTTGAAAAATGGATGCTTCAATAATTTTTTTTTTTTTTTTAATTGGGATTGTGGGAAGAATAATTTAGGATTTCTTTCTGCTAATTTATGTTTTCCTGAACATAACTTGTCTTGTTGAGTGGAACTTACATTGTGATTTGCCATTGTGATTATTTGGGAAAATTTTGAATCTCTACTAAACAGATGTATTGGAGTGATGACTGAAAAACATGATACAATCATTTATTAATCCAACGTATTTATTACTATATAAATAAAACCTTGTGAATATGTTAGCAACATGACTTTTCCATCAACATTGGTGCATGAATGTATTAATGCTCTCCCCAAACAGCTGTAACCACTCTTGCCTCTCTGCAACAATAGAACCGTAGAACTACTACTTGGATAAATGTCCTATTAAGCATTACAAACAGATGATAATACAAAGGCACCAAATTGGGACTATGCAGTAAATGTTGCAAAACATCTCAACCATATTGAAGCCATTCATTTCTCAGTTTGGCCATATGGCATGACATTACTGTGCTGCATGATGTCACTGTTATTTAAACTAGTTCCACAGTGTCTGACTTCATTAAATTTCTTGCTATACAGTTTGAAGCCTATGAACTCAACACCTTTTGTATCCTGTTTGCCATCAGGTTCTTGGCTGACTGCCAAACTTTGAATTTTGGTGTGGGTCAGTAACTATGACTGCTTCCATATTCTTTCCAAAAGCTGAAAAGAATGCTAGCCTTGTTAGCCGCAAAAAGAGTCATGTTGGTAGGACAGAACTCTGCTGGGAATAACTTAACATGTGAAGTGTGACAGAAAACTTGCAGAAACCAGTCTCGCCCATCACATGAAAACTCATGAGCAAGCTGAACAAACTTTACAAAACAGACCAGGCCCTGTACAGTACAACACTTAGTTTGTCACAACTGCAATAAGTATTGTCAGTCACTTGCTGGCTTCAAAAATCATTGTTGTTCTCATGAGAACTAAACTTTGATCAGTCATATTCATTTAAGTCAGCAGCCATTTATTTATTTATTTATTTATTTATAGTTGGATTGGTGTGAGTTTGTGAAACCCAACATCACAAACTCAAACCAATCTAACTAAATATGTTAGCTCTATCACTGATATTGAGTGCTTTCCAATAAGTACTGCTCATATATAATATATAAATAATATATATAAAAAATTGCATATATATATATATATATATATATATATATATATATATATAAAGGAAATATGTTGTAGTGGTTCCAACGAGAGAAAAGTATGTATATTAAAAAGAAGAGGGGTGCCGCAAACGTTTTTGGTTGTAATGTGGATTTATTGAGAAAAAATATTATACTTTGTTTTACATAATTTCACAACACGTGTTTCTGGTCTGGTCTCGCAACCGTCTTCAGGTGAAAGTGGAGATTTTTACATATTATTAAAAATAATTAATTTTTCTTCATGTTCAATGTGGAATATTCTCGATATGAGACATTCTGTTTGTGTGTTGGCAATCCGAATTTTCTTTCTAGAAATTTTCTTTCATATAAATGAGTTAACAAAAAATATGTATCTGCAATTAGTTGGTAAAATTTGTGTATCCTTTCTTAAGAACAATCTGGAATTGATCACTGATGAGTTTTTGATCCTTCAGGTATTCTTATCTGCTTGCAGACACTATGTGCATTTCTTAACAATTCCTTCAGTTTAAATGTTCAGATCTTTAATATTATTTAAATTTAAAGCTTTCATCAGGATATCTCTTTTGGAATTGTTTGAACATTATCATGATGACGTTCCCATGTGTTGAAATGTTGAGTGTTTCCGCGTGCGTGTATTGAAATAAGGACAAACACATACGTAGGGAAAAATACTGGTATATCTGAAGAGGTATTTACAACAGAGAGATTAGCAGTCAAACGAACGCAGGTTAGTCAGTAACAATCAGAAAGAGTATAAAGTCCAACTGTATCTTCCGGTAGAGAGACGGAAGTGTGATGGTCACCTGATCTCCCAGAACTCTATAGAACTGTCCTATTAGTAGTAGAGAGATCAGTCCATTCTGATGAGAAGGTGGGTGCACCCCAACACCATGACTACTCAATTCTCGAACAATACAAATCAACCACTTCTTCTGTCAATCTGTTTCTGCCAACTCTCAAAGATTTTACTTGGCTATTTTCTTTGGATATACCCAATAAACTCTTTTGCTCTTGGGTCTTGTTTGGCAGCTTCCTTGGTCGTCAAAGAATGACTGTAATTTGTTTGTCACATATTAACCACACAAAAAAAAATGGATGTGCAGGTGGCATAATTTGTTCCCAAAATACACTTTTTGATGTGTAGAAGGGGGTGGGGCACGAGTAATGTTATATAGTTCTTTTGGTAGCTAATATAAAATGCAGGATGCCAACCCTCCTTCTAGGTGTTTTTGTTGAGGCTCTAGAAAGACTGACACCCAAAGATAAAGACAGGAGAATTGTCTTATCCTATTCCTATGTCAGGCTTCTGGAAGTGTCTTCTCACAACTTTCCCAGACACCATAGCTTGGAACTCAGGGTTGGATATTGGGGATCTGGGGACAGCAATACAGGACTGAACAGGGTGGAAAGGGATTGTCAATGGAGTTCCAACCAACCACAAGGAGGCTGAAGGAGGAGGAGGATAATGATGATTAATGCTATAACTGGGATCATTGGGGATTTCAGGTCTTTCAACATATACTGAATTTTCAGGTTTAAATTCTAGCAGTGACTATTTCATTCCCTTTGCACTCATGCCTTTTAGGAAAGGCATGAATCCATCACTTCCCCCACTCAGCTATGGGTAAAATAGTAAAGCAAACTTTGATAGTAACTTCTCTATATTGGAATGGAAAGGATTATGGGGAAACCACTTTGTCAGGGCTGATGTTTCTATTAAAAAAAAAAAAAATACCTGTAAGACTTTGCAGTAAATATACAGTTGTTGACCAGAGTGATCTCAATCTACCATAAGTAAATGCTGAGACAATACAACAGAATATATTGAAATTTGTAACAAGTTTGAAGTTTCAACCTCATGAGTACCAAATTGTAAAGAATAACTGATGGTGATTTTAATGTATAATAATTTGGTTATCATAAATATAAGCTTAATAGCTGAAGAGTTTGACAAATAATAGTAAAATAATTTCTTATTACTGATGATGAACTGGTCTGCTTAATTAAATGAAGGATAATAATGAAATTCAATGTGCAAAACTTCTAACACTAAGGGAAAATAAATGAAATTTATAACTAAGAAATATCTTTTGTTGACAATGAAAAATTTGTCACTGTCATTATTCAAGTTCCATTTTTATTGACTCCAGTCATGAGTGTGGAAAGTGATTTTGTGTGCAGTGTGTAAAATAAAAAAGGATAAAAAATAAAATGTTTGTAACATTTAAAAAATAATTGATTTCCTAAGTTTCTAATCCAAAGAATACAATGAAAAGTAGAAAATATATCCTTTTCTTTTTCTTCTTTTCTTTTTCTTTTCTTTTTCTTCTTTTCTTTTTCTTTTCTTCTTTTTTCTTTTCTTTTCTTTTCCTTTTTTTTTTCTTTTTTTTTGTAGGGAAATGTTCTGTAATATATATTTTTTAATGTTCTCTAATTTTATGTTCAGACATTAATAAATGAAATTGTAGTCTTACACTGTTACGTGCTTACAGCCACATCACATAGAAACATTGGTTCCCATACGATCACTGAAGTTAAATAATGTTGAGCCTGGTCAGTACCTAGATGTGTGACTGCTTGGGAATACCAAATATTGTAAGCTTGGATGTGCCTATGGTGTAATTGATAATGTCTTGGAATTGTTAATCAAGGAACCAAGTTCCAATTATCCATTAGCTTCATTATATTCACTAATGCACAAATACTCTTGGGATAGGTATAAATCCACCTATTCTTCCCCCAGATATGGGTTAATTAGTACAACTTGTATCACTAAATCATTATTATCTACCTCCCCACACCAAAAAAAATTATTAGAATCTAAAAAAATATTTTCTGGCTTTAAATAACTTGTAAAGGGTTGTTGTTAATCTGTAGAAAACAAATCAATGAATGGTGACAAATGATAAATGTTACATTAAAAGCTAAATCAAAATAACAGGAAATAATAGAACAGTTAATTGTCTTCATAAGAATTTTTTTTCTTTTTTACATATTAAAACATACAGACCAATAAGTCAGTATGATGAATTTTGATGTTCCTGCATGAAACAGTTTGACCATCTATATCACACAAGTTCACTGTCAGTTCAATCACATGTACCCACTAAAAATATATATATATATATATATATATATATATATATATATATATATATATATATATATATATATATCTCTATCTCTGATATTTAGCACTTTATCCCATAAATATAGCACACTTTTATAACTATATTTCTGCATATATATATATATATAGTGTATGTGTGTGTATTTAGGCAGCTCATTTTATTAAAGACAACAGACATTTTGTGTGAATTAATTTTATTGATTGTTTTTTTTTTTTTTTGTTTTTTTTTTTGTTTTTTTTTTCATTGTAATTTTTGAAAAAATCAAAAATTACAGTTAAACTTTGTCAGGAGGAAATTCCATCAGAAATTGTCTGAAGTTCATTTCAGAAAAAATATGGTCCACGGTTTCAACTTATGTCATCATCAGGGTAGTTGGACAAATGGTGAATTTCATAGAACTAGTGAGTGTAGACGATATAGGCAAGGTGTGATGTGCATGAACATGTATGTGTGTATATTTTTATATACATTTGAGGATGTGTGTTCTTAAAGCATAGTTGATTTATAGTTATAGATGGTTTTTGTTGTACAAATATTGCTTCAAGGATAATTGTGTGTGCATGCATATATATATATATATTAAACAATTTGTCTACCATTTTGATTTTGTGAACACTTCTGATAAAAAAAAAAAAATTACATTTTTCACTTATTATAATCATGGGGGTTATCACACATCCCTGTTGTGCAAAAAGCTGCCATTTAAGTTTTACTTATTTACTAGATATTTATTCAACTTGCGATATACTGGGTGGGACTTTTTTACATAACTTTTCTTCTCTCTCATCATTATATGCTTAATGACATGACAAATATTAAAAGCTTATATAGGAAGCAAATGCCCCAAATTCCCTTTGTACATTTAGTGTGTGAACAAAAATCAATACAAAACTAATTATTTAATACTTACTTGTATCCTGCCAGAAAATTTCAGAAACATGCCTTCAGGATATAAAGTATGTTTTAATACTAGTCAGAAGAATTTAGAATAACACACTCTTGGTGATTCTTGTTTATGGTGAAGGTCATTCAAATGGCTATGAATGAACAAAAATTGTCATTGTAACATTAATAAGGTAAGAATGATTTACTTGGACGAGTATCATCATCTTTGTTGTTATTGTCATAACATTTTGACTGTACTGCTCTCCAGACTTCTTAAGTTTGCTGTATTTGATAGCCTTCTGTGAATTTTGAAAGGAGTCCTTTATTCATTCCTCGTAGGTAGATTATTCTCTTTCCATTGTTCATACGAGAAGATATCTTGTATCAGTGAATTCCTCTTTGTGATGTTATTTGTCACTTTTATTAAACTCGTGTATATGACCTTTTACATAACCCAATCCAGGGAGTGAACTCATAGCCATGAGATAACTATTAAGATAAGAACACTAATCCAAATAAATCAGGGTATAAATGTTTAAGCACAGCCTGTTGTGTATTGAATATCAGAAAGGAAGAGATTGTCAATGGTCAAGAAATAGTTTATATATATATAATGCATTGCAAATCAGGAAGAAAGCAATTGTCTGTGGTCAGGAATTAAAGTAAGCATTACAGAGGGAATAGAGCTATTACCATGTTTTCTTGTGTATAATATGGCTTGAGAATAAGTTACATCCAGGAGTATAATACAACCACATAGTACAGCCAACCCTACTAAAGTTGTACCATATTATCAATGCTGTATCTGCATAAATTATCATAATATTTTGCTATTTAAAATTACAAGCACCAGTGTACACTATTTATATAGTGATATAATTATGTCAGAGTTATTTATGTACCTATTTTGTACTGTTTTATTTTTCTCTAATCATCATTTCAAGTTTCCAAACTGGATACTTTGTGTCAACAAACGGAAGAAAATGAAACAACAATCACTTCACAGCATGGAAAATATTGCCCCATTTTTAAAGCAAAGAAAAACTCATGAAAAGTACATAATTTATACAATAGTAAAGCCTTTGTTATAACATTAATGCTATCAAAACATGATGGATCTTGTATGTTCCTTTTATAAATTTGTTTTAATCAATTTCGGTGAATTTCCTGTCTTTAACAGAAAAGACGTTCAATTATGCTGATTCCCAAAGAATAAATATTGCTGACATATCAAATACCTTTCGTAAACAATCATTATCAACACCGGCCTACTTTGTGTTTCATCATCTATTGTTCAGACTGAGTGGATTTGCAATCTTACTGTTTCAAATATGAGGTCTTTTTAGCTGAGTAAAAATTTCTGAAAATGTTTATTTGTGTATAATACGCACACCCCTTTTTCGCCTTTGATTTTTTTATCAAAATTTCTCGTATTATGCGCAAGAAAATAGGTATGTGTATAATGGAAATGCATTACTAATGCTTTTACTATAAAAAAAAAATGCATTGTAAATCAAGAAGAAATGGATTGTCTGTGGTCAGCTGTTAAAGCAAGTATTACTGAGAGCTATTATTTGCATAATGGAAATGTATTGCTCATGATTGTATAAAAATGCATTGTAAATCAGGAAGAAAGGATTTGTCTGTGGCCAGGAATAGAGAATATTGCTATTATTTGTATAATGGAAATGCATTACTAATGATTTTATTATAAAAATGCATTGTATATCAAGAAGGGATTGTCTGTGGTCAGGAATTAAAGTAAGAATTACAGACAGAATAGAGTTATTATTTATATCATGGAAATACATTACTAATGATATTACTATAAAAATGTATTGTAAATCAGGAAGAAAAGGATTGTCTGTGGTCAGCTATTGAAGCAAGTATTACTGACAGCTATTGTTTGCATAATGGAAATGTATTGTTAATGCATTTTATTATAAAAATGCATTGTAAATCAGGAAGAAAGGGATTGTCTGTGGTTGGGCAAGCATTATTTATGAAGTAATGTTATAATGTGTAATTTTTTTTTTTTTTTTTTTTTTTTTTCAATGTATAATTTTTAAAAAAAAAATTGTATTATGTTCATTTATTACATATTTTTCTTTCGTGTTAAATCTTCCTGCATAATGTCTTTTTGATTTTAATTTTTTCCACAGATAAGATAACTTATCAATTACTCTATTGTCATTTGATAACTGAGAGCATTTATTCTTCTACAGCCTATAAAGGAAAGGTAGTAGATTTTATTGTTTGCCAAAGCTTTCACCTCCAACACAAGAAATCCCACCCAGGTTCCCTCCTGTAGGTATGCACCTAATGAACTCTTCTATTCCAAACTGAAATGCAAAAATTTATCTAAAATCTAGCTATCAGTTTTCTTAATAAAACTGTCAACATTAAGAAACTTTGTAAAGTAAGAGTGCTTGAGTTTTTGTAAGGAAAGTCATTCGTATTTGTCCCGGTTATTCTACGTAAATGTCTCCAAGGCATGAACCCAAAAATTTTAATTATTACAAATTATGTCCACCCATGCTTTTGTGCCTATTATGCTTTTTTTCTTTCTTTCTTTTTCTTTTTTTTTTTTTTTTAATTTATTTGTTTTAATAAAATTATTATTTATATTCATTTAACAATGATATGGTAAACATTGGGAAGGTCAGCCATATTTTTTATATTTTTTTTATTAACTGTTTATTCAAAGAAAAAATTCTTTGTGAATGTACATGGTATTAATGAAATGTAGTGGGAATGAATAAATTGGATAAAGATATGTAAAAGTACATTTGGGTGTTTGATAAATCAGTAATACCACTGAACAACAAAAATAAACTGATCTGATACTTTGAGTACAAAATAGTGAAAATAATGTAAAATCATTGTTTTTTTTCATTTGTTATAATCTTGTAACCATCTGTCGAAAAAGACATCTTTTTTTTTTTTGTCATTTCCTTACTATTATTACATTTATTTCTTGTAATGATACTTCAAGAGGGGTTTTGTTTCTTTTGTACTATTTATTAAAACTAGTTTCACTCATGATGTCAAAAATGACAGCATATTTTGTCATGTCCTTACTATTATTAGTTTTCACATGTGAGCCTTTAAATGTATTTTCCCCAATTATTCTTGTATTCAGCTCTTTCATGAGTCTGTCTTTCCAATGTTGTTAGCATTTTTGAGCAGGCTGCCATTGTTCTAAAAAAAGGGGTGATAACTATATACAGCAAAAAGTTATAGAGATTGTGGAAAATATTTCACAAATATATTTGACATGTTATTTATTAAAATATTGCTAATCATGATTTTTGAGCTTGTTATTTGTTGGCAAAATTATATGGAGTGAAAAAAAATATACTGTTGAGAAATTGTTAGCTGGTGTGTGTGTGTGTGTGTTGACCATAAACTGCTGCAGAAATTTCCATCATTTACATTTAATGAAGGGATATTTTAAGGTGTCCAGGTCAAAAAAAAAAAAATGGTACTGTATCGTACACTAAATGTTTTTTCTTATATCTTCCTTTATTTTTATAATTATCTCCCTTGCACTGTCGATGACAAGTAGCAGTGTCTTTGTTAT